GGTTCGGGATGGAATTAATACGTCGTCTATATACACGAGCGCGAGGTCTTTAAGTACTCTTTTGATCATAGCCTGGAAGACTGGCGGGGCATTGACCAATCCAAACGGCATGCGCAAGAACTCCCATTGCCCATCTGGGGTAACGAAGGCAGTTTTTTCTATTGAATCGGGATGTATCGGGAGCTGATAAAATCCCGATTTCAAGTCTAATGACGTGAATAATTTCTTTTTATTACCAAGCTGGTCTATTTGGTCTTCGATAATTGGCAATGGGAACTTTATAATTTTAGTTTTCCGATTAAGAGCCCTATAATCTATTGCCATACGAGTTTCTCCATTTTTCTTCCTAACTAGTACTACTGGACTACCGTATGGCGACGTACTCTCGCGGATAATGTTATTTCTCTCTAACTCTGCTATCATATCTCTAACCTTGTCTCTATCGGGTTTTGATAGCCGGTATGGTTTATGAAAGACCGGCTCGTTATCCGTTAGTTCAATTTTCATCTCTCCCGCAGTTGTTCGGCCTAACTCTCCGTAATTGAACGAAATACATTCCCTGTAGTCATTCAATAATCGTAGCAATCGAGTCTTACTCCTAACATCGAGCTCGTTGCCCCAAATATTACCCTCCCCTATAGGTCTCCGTTTCCCCAGGTCTACCATATTAATCTCTAACTTGTTATTCCCTTTTCCCGTTCGTTATAGGTAAATGTTATACCGGAAGAATCCGATATTGCTTGAACTCCTGCCTTAAATAAAATATCTCGACCGATGATTATTTCTTTCGACAATTGCTCATCCGCCACAATCAAAACATTTATTTTAAACGGAATATCATCAATAAGGATTTTAATTTTTGAACGAGCTATGGGTACTACCAACGAATTATTAAACCCGGATAACGTCTTTTTTGTTTCTTTGAATGCTAGGCTCAGCTGTTGAGCTACGCTCTCCCGAATTATCGAGCAATCACTGCCTAAATCGATTGTGCATATTTTCTCTTCCTTCCCGACTAAGCATTTCTTTAGTGGTTTGTTTACCTTTCCCGACTCGACCTCTAACACCTGAGCCGAGGGGCCCATGTTGTCTGCGTGCGACGGCGGCGGTGCCCCCTCCCCCTTAGTTAGCCATGCATTCTTCCCGTTACCCCCTCTACTCTCGCTACGCTGTTTCTTATAACATTGGTTTTCCGCGTGACCCGGAATATTACAATAGCCGCATCTTACCGATTTCATTTTGTCTGTGGCACCCGCGGTATTCTCCTTCCTAGCTAAGTCGATCCCTTGTGACCCCTTACTAATCCCTTTCGTTCCCTTATTTTCTAAATTGGGACAATTAAATCGTTTATGACCTCTTTTGCCGCATCGAAAACATGCGTCCGAATCGAAACGGTTGTGCGTCTCTCTCGCCCCTTCCCGACCGACGGGCCGTTTCTTGTCCTTCCCCGCTTTTAAGCTATTAGCTATTTCTACCGTAAGTGATTCTAGGCACCGCGTCAATTCCGGAATGGTCTTTTTCTTAGCCGTTGTCAAACTCATTCTTATTTGATCGTCCTGTATCCCGTGTACCACAAATTCCACAATTTTTTCTTCGGGAACATTTAAATTCAATTTATTTAACCTCTTTATCTTTTCGAAACAATACGATTGCAAACTCTGGCCCAAAATACTTTTATACGACGCAGCGTCTTCCAACAATTTTCCAAAATTTTCCTCTCCAGAAAACTGCCGGGTAATAGTTTCCGAAAATTCGCGCCACGTCATAGGGGAGCTCGTGAGCCCATCATACCATTTTTTTGCTATGCCCTGTAATTTAATTGCGGCGAAAAAAACCTTATCCGTATCATCCCAATTAAAAACCTTAGCAAATTCATTAATTTTTCTCAACCATTCTAACACTGCCAGGTTTCGCGATTCCGGATCAAACTCTGGTATAACCCGTTCATTCGTGTAGCGTTTAGATTGCCCCGAACCCGTCTTAATGGCCTCCGTCAATGCCAGTGTCAACCTTGCTAAATCGGACTCACCCGACTCCAGGGTACCATTACCCAGACTCATGATGCTCCTTCTTTCCTCCTGTCGACGCTCCCTCGATCGGCTCCTGCTGCGTGTTTCTCCGCGTTTCGAAACCGTGCCTCGAGGTACCCTCAGAACGTGCGGACTTCTGAAGCGCTGTCGGTTACCACTACTCGATTCCCTGGATCGTTTTTGACACCGATCTTCCGGCTTCCTTGATCGACTCCTCCCGTGTGGTGAAACTGACTCCTTTCGTCTTCTACCCCGATTCGTTTTTCTCGATCGCTTGCTGCGATCACTTTTACTCGATTCATGTGGCATCTTATAACCACTTGGCACTTTTTAAACTGTCACTGGAGAATTTATTTCGCACGTGTGTGTATCCCACTTCTGAACTGTAGTAAAAGAATAACTCTGTTTATTCTAATAAACGAATATTTCTATTTATTGCCTGGTGTCAACAGATACGTTTGTACGTGTAGTAAAAGAACAAAGGATAGTTATTGTCTGGTGTCAATAGATACGTTTGTACGTGTGGTCTTCGACCGTCTGCCCGCCCGATTCGCATAACGCGAGACGCGTCGAGTCGCGTCGAGCTTCCTTTCTTCCCCCCTCGGTCGCAGGATCGTCTTTTGGTTCTCGCGTCCACGCCGCATTTCGGCCGCCTGGATGACGTAATATTCCTTTTCGAGGAAGCCTCGTTCTCAAATTGATCAATTACACTCGAATTTGGACGCATTTTAATCGGGAGAATTTCTTCAACTCATTCATGACATTTTCATTAAAATATATTGCAAATTGTAAAAGTTTAAATTTTCATTCGTGTGTCATTCCTTATCTCATCTACGTCTGTTTACATTGTATGCCGATGGGTCGTCGCTAGCCTTGGACGTTCGGCGATAATCGAAATCTCGCCACGAACCGTAGGCCCACGTAGGCCGTAGCTATTCCATCGTTCTCGTCACGGGTAGAATTGCATGCGAGACATGAGGCAACAGCGTCAGAAACACGATACTTTCCGGCAACACTGTCTTCGCGGAGGAAATACACAAACCCAGCTTGATGGTAACGGGGAACAAAATTTATTTGTGGGTACTGCCGCTAGATGTCGTATTATCAAGCCGTCCCAAATATCGATTTTGTGTTTCCGCTGGCGTCCGATTGTTTACATCCGCGCTTCGATCGATTCGGAGTTGGCCCCAAAGGAGTCTCCCCCCTTAAAGCTACCTCAGGTGTTCCACAGGGTGCACATCTAGGTCCATTATTTTTTAATCTTTTTATTAATGATTTAGCTGATGTTTTTGTTTTGTCAACAGCAAGTTTCTGTATACGCCGATGACCTCAAAATTTCTAGAAGAATTTCGGATGTTAGTGATACGCACAAACTTCAGGCTGATCTCACAAGATTTTGTGATTGGTGTAGAAAGAACAAGATTTATCTTAATCTCACTAAATGTTATGTAATGAGGTCATCCCGTAAAATGCATCCCGTAAGTTTTGATTATAATCTTGATGGTCATAAAGTAATAGAAATTAATGAAACTAAAGACCTTGGCGTTTGGATTACACCAATGTTAAATTTTTCAAAGCACTACAATAACATTGTAAGCACTGCTCTCAAAACATTAGGTTTTATCAAACGTTTCTCTATTAATTTAAAAAATATTAACACCATTAAATTACTGTATTTTCAATTAGTTCGGCCTCAGTTAGAGTATGCTTCAACAGTCTGGTCTCCCCAATTTTCAAAATATATGTTAATGGTAGAAAGAGTGCAGCACAAATTTATCAGGTACATTGCCTTTAGACTGAACACCCCTATGCGGCGTAATGATCACGACTATGTACCTTTATTAAACACACTAAATATGAATTCTTTGGCTGATCGCAGAGTTGTCAACGATCTTTCTTTTTTATTCAAGCTTATAAATGGTCAGATCTCATGTCCTCAATTGTTGCAGCTCGTTAACTTTTGTGCTGCTGCAAGGTGTGTTAGAAAGAATCATATATTTTATCATGATATGGTAAAAACTAAATATGGTTCAGGCAATCCAATTTATCGAATCCTGAAATCAACCAATAATTTCACGGATCTGATTGACTTTTTCAGTGGCTCTATTAAATACTTTAAGGCATCCCTACATAGAGCACTAAGAACTGTTTAATCTTGTTAATATTTCATTAAAAATTTCCTGTTGTGACTAATTCCATACTGTATAATATATTGATGTAACTGTTTCTAATCTTAATTGTCATTAATTGTTATATATGTATACTGGGTTAATACCTGTTAAATTACTAAATAAAAAAAAATAAAAATAAAGATTTCCAAGACCGTTCAAGACTCGAATCCGCTCAAGACTTCGAATCTGGTCAAGACTTCGAATCCGCTCGAGACTTCGAATCGCCTCGGAACTTCGAATCCGCTCGAGACTTCGAATCGCCTCGGAACTTCGAATCCGTTCAAGACTTTCAAGACTTTCAAGACTTTTGTAGCTTCGAATCAGATTCGAAGCGATTCGAAGTTTTCGTCCGTGTACAGATTCGAAGCGATTCGAAGCGTTCCAAATCCCATCACAGCTTCTTTTACGTCACTTTTTCCCCTAGCGGAAACCGAGTTTGCTCATGAGGGTACATAGATAATCAACAAAAAAAATAACCTCTGAAACAAAATGGCGGCAGCGATTATATGGCGAAGTTTATTCTTATAAGTAGATTGTAGATTTTTCAATAAGCCTCCAAAGGGTAATTAAGTTTTAATTTTACTTTCAATTAAATCAAAACACATAACAACAAGCATATGTTACATTCTTCTGTATGTTAATTACCCCATAGAAATTAGTATTTCCAATAGGTTACTAATGTTATTTAACGAAAATGCACATGTAATTTTTAAAATTTATAAATAATTTTCTAAGAAACTTGTGAACGAAGTAAAGGAAAATTATTAAGGGAAGTTGAATATATCATTATCAACACTCAATTGTAATATAACAATTACTGTTCAAAATACCATTGTGTAAAGGTTAGTTCTGTGTATATTAAACAGTGATTGTATACATTTATATACTAAATATCCAGTAAATTATTTGATATTTTATCTTAATTTTTTGTAATGTAACCCAAAATTAACTCATTTTCAACTTTAGAAGATTATTTACAAGATTTACAAGATTTACAAGATTATTTAATGCATGTTTGTTTGCAGATATGGATCCAGAATTTCTTTCTAGGCTGATTCCACAAAACAAGGACCACGTCCGTCCAGCATGCAAGAAATGTGGGTATGCTGGACACCTGACCTACCAGTGTCGCAATTTCATTAAAGTTGATCCAAATAAAGAGATAGTGCTGGATGTTAGTAGTACGAGCTCTGACAGTGATGAAAATTATGTAACACCTCTGACTGAATTACGAGAGAAAGAATTAAAAAAAAAGCAAAAGGAGGCAAAGAAGAAACACAAAGAAAAGAAGAGTAATAAGAAGTCTAAAAAGCATGAAAAACTAGAGACTAGTAATACTGATCCTGAAACAGATGATTCCAACAACAAGGATGACAAGAAACAGAAACATAAGAAGAGGAATAAGAAGTCAAAAAACCAAAAACATAAGAAGCATAAAAAGGATGACATATCAGACAGCAATTACGATGATAAAAAATAGTTTTTTTTAATTTAGACTAATAAGTACCATAATTTTCAATGGATATTGTAAATACTGACTAACAATAAGTGTTATTATTGTGATGTATATGGAATGAGTAACAAAAGTATTTGACCGTTAAGACAGTTAAAGATACATGAAGTTGAAGAAATAAAATGTATAAAATCACTGCACAATTTATATACATTTTGTGATCAAATATGTACATGCAATTCATAGTATTATCAATCAAAATTTATATGGTTAATGTACTTTACTATAGGTTTCCTCATTTATTGACATAATATGTATAGAAATTGTGAAATTGTAAAATATTGTATCAGTGTTGATGTGAAAATGTCATGTTGGATTATTCTTGTTGCTCGCTGTAAATGAAATTGTATGATATGTAAACCTACATAAAACTGCAATTATGCATGTTAATAAATTGAGGTATCAGTTTTATAGAAATGGTGAATATAACTCTGATAACCAGTTGTGTATAAGTTTCGAGCAAACTGCCAGTAATAAATAACAAAAGTTTAAAAAATCATAGCCATCTGTTTCTGCATTTGACTTAGGTTTTGCAGGCAACGCCGGCTGACAAAATGGTAAAGCAAATTGGCAGAAAGTCTTGCATCATGACATATGTCAAATTGAGGGCAAAACCAGTACAAGGTTTGCATAAGCCAATATGCTGCATATGTTGCTGCTAATGTGAGTGCAAGGTGTTTATAGCAAATCTTGCAAAAAACTTATAGCCATAACTTTATAATAGGCATTCGACAGAATTTAGCCTTGCAGTTTTGGCTAACTGGGTAATTTCCGATTCCTTGCACAATAGTTTTTACCTTGTTAATAAGTAATTTGCAAATTATGAATTCTATGCTTTTATACCATATTCCAATGTAATGAAAACTTTTATACTGTTTAATAAAGTTACTATTTTATTTTCAGTCTCATAGAGATACTTTCAGAAAATTATGGTTTAAAGTTTGTTATTATGTAACTATCTATTTATAATTTACTATCTAAAGTACTAGGTTTATATATAATTGTGCCAATTTCATCTGAAAACCTTCAAATTGGTCTTAACGGGTGAGACTCCGTGGCCCGTGTGCTGTTCCGTACGCTCATACAATCAACGGGAACCCTGTATGTATACGCGATACACGAGAGAGCCATTCGATTTCGTAGAATCCAACTTCTGCCTCGACAATTGCACAAATGCACTTTTCACTGGTATAGAACTCACGGGTAGACTTCCCTACAGGGTGGTCTGGTCCGTATAAACACCAATAAACACATTTTAATTGAAAGAATTAGAATTTTAGAAATTGTGCGATTGTGACAGACGCCGATGAAGCACACAAGATGGCTGCTCAAGTCACATTTTGTCAAATATCACACGATTTAGTTGTTTTCTCGTTAAATGCTGACCAGACCACCCTGTACACCACTGTCACACTATCGTAGAAATCCGATTTTTGTTAATTTATCACTTGTGGAAGGCGTAAGTTGGATTCTACGATTTGACGCGTCCAGGTTCAGGAATATACAGTGGTATAGTTCAAGGATTCTCCACTAGCCGCGCTTATGGTAGTTGTCAGTCACTTTGGCCATGTTACCACCGACCATCGATAAAACAGAGGGAAGTCGGTATATATAACCTCGCAACACGTGCTGGATCGTATCAATTGTTTTGTTACGCTGTTGCCATTCGACAATTCTGCCCATCAGGAGAACGATCGAATACCTACGGCTCGTGGCGAGATTTCGACTCTCGCCGAACATTGGAACAGAATAGTGCGACTGAAAGAGATTCAAAAATGAAGCAATACTTACGTACTAATGTGTGCAACGATAAAC